GTCCTTCGTCTTACTTCTGTCGGTACTTTTTTCCCAAGAGGGACACGTGGACGGAGTCCTTTCTAAGCTCTTGCTTCATGTGAAAACACGGTGCTGCTCTCTTTCCTTGAGGAAGGCGTCGTCAGTGTCCGGGGCAGCCCTGAAGGCCAGACTCTCCTGGCATTCGCGGGCCCTTCAGTCCAGATGCGCGCACACCCTTGTCCCCTCAGCGCGGAGTGACTCATGCTCAGCTATGCCTCCGATTGTTGTTTTCGTCCTAACTGCGGTTTCTCCCTCCCCAGCGACTGAGCTGTCGTGTCTGACGTCGGAACACACGGTTTGTCACGCTTTCTCTCCCCATCCTGAGGGTCTTATCCTCAGCCTCCATGACTTGGAGGAACTGGCAGTGTTTGTCCTTAAAACCACTGAGCGGATTCTCTCCGGTGTTAATTTCGCGCTTTCCTGCTTCTGCTGTGAACTTTCAGTCCAGCTGCTTGGTGTTAAGTTTCCTGCGACACGTGTTTTCTTCCACGTCCGCCCTGAATTCGGCCTGGGGGATGTCCTGGTTGAGAGCCTTGGTCCTGTATCCCGCTGGCGGCCTCCGGCCCCAGCCCTGACTCTCTGGGCTGTGTGACCTTGAGGGCGCTGCTTCCCCTCTCTGTGCCTGGGCGTCCGCCGCCCGTTCACAGTAACTCCCTCACTTCGCTGATATGGAATTAATTGAGGTAACAGCTGTGAAGCACTCAGATCCCCGCCGGGCCCAGAACAGGTGCTCAGAAAACGGTATCTCACCTCACAGCTGCGGTCAGGGCCACCGTGGAGCTCACGGACCCAGATGCTGACGTCTTCACCGGCGTCAGCCCACTCCGACTTTCTGTTCCGAGCTCCCCGGGACCACGTCTTCTCATACCCACCAGGGAAACCGTCGGCTGCCTGAGCTTCTCGGTGTTGCGCTGGGTGCACGAGTCCCCAGGGCTCACACGCGGCGTCCCCAGAGGAGACAGTCTCCCTCTCCCTGAACTGGTCTTTCAGGGCATCACCCTTGAAGGAGGCAAATTCTGGCCGGAGTGGGTAGTTTGCTCAGCCATGGAGTGTGGGGTGCACAGCGGGCGTTGAAAGGCACCTGGGTTTGAGTGAAAAGGTGAGGAAAAGTGGTGACAGAGGAGAGTCCAGCCCTGCCCCTGGGTCTCCGCGTCCTCACACGGCCCCGGCTCACGCGGGCACCTGAGAGTCCGCGTCTGACCACGGCCCATTAACACTGCTGTCGGGCGCGGTCAGCTGGGCTGCGCCGGGCTGGACGTCTCCCTCTCTGCGCCTCCTGCCACACAGCTGCCGCGGGGGCTGGGGTGGTGCGTGGGCCACCCCCTGTGGAACCTGACCCCAGACCCACCTCTATGGTCCAATCCTCTGAACCACTTGCATTTTATAAGATGTGGAGTGTCACTCTACACCACTTTTTAAAATGCTTAAAAGTCAAAATAATATTAAAGCACCCCACACACAGGAGAGATGGAACCACAACTCATCACGTCACAGAAGTGTTCACCTCTAGGCCTCAGCTCAGCATAACCTTGCCTCAAATGTTTTCCGTAACTTTTCTGGAGCCAAACACAGGAGAGACGGGAAACATCCTGCAACTCAGGACATTCATACTCACAAGTTTAGTGAGTAAAACTATTGAAAATACGCCAGCACTAATGAGGGCTCCCGCAACCAGCTGTCAACACCAACGAGGAAGTGCGGGCGTGGAGCCTCCTGCTGGGACGACACAGGCCAGGGAGGGGTATAAAAGCCCGGCACCCCTAGGCACCTCACACTCCCTCGCACTCACACTCACTCACACACTCACCCTCCTACAGCCCCACCGCCCCCGCCATGGCCGCGCCCGCCCTGTCCACCTGCTCCGGCGACCTGAGCTACGGCAGCCGGGTCTGCCTGGCCGGTCCCTGTGACTCCTGCACCGGCTCCTCCTGGCAGGTGGACGACTGCCCAGAGAGCTGCTGTGAGCCCCCGTGCTGTGAGCCCCGCTGCTGCGCCCCGGCCCCCTGCCTGAGCCTCCTCTGTGCCTCAGCGAGCTGTGAGCCCTGCCCCTGCCCATCTGCCTGCACCAGCTCCTGCACGGCCTTGTGCTGCCCGCAGTCTAGCTGCCAGCCCTCCTGTTGCACCTCCTCCCCCTGCCAGCAGGACTGCTGTGAGCCCGTGTGCTGCAGGCCTGTGTGCTGCAGGCCCGTGTGCTGCACGCCCGTGTGCTGCAGGCCTGTCTGCTGCAGGCCCGTGTGCTGCACGCCTGTCTGCTGCAGGCCCGTGTGCTGTGAGCCCACCCCCTGCCCCTCGTCCTGCTGCAGACCCTCCTCCTCCGTGTCCCTGCTCTGCCGCCCCGTGTGCAGACCCGCATGCTGTGCCCCCGCCCCCTCCTGCCAGCCCAGCTGCTGCCGCCCGGCCTCCTGCGTGTCCCTGCTCTGCCGCCCTGCATGCCCCTGCCCCACCTGCTGTGTCCCCAACTCGGCCTAGAAGCCCTGCTGCTGACCGGGCCGTCCCCCCAGGGCCAGCCGGGCTCAGTTCCCACCAGTGACTTGGCCCCCAGCTTCCCCTCAGTCCTGACCTGAGTTATGTGACTGTCCCCACTGAGGACATGTCCTGCTATGTATCCATTGTCCTGACCTGACTGACCTCTGACCACTGCTCCCAGGACCCCTCGACCTTGCTGTGCCCCAGGGCTCTTGCCTCCCAGGTGACCCCACCTGCCTCTGGGTCACCTGTCCCCCCTCCCCATTTCTCTGCCTGGGTCACTTGGCCTCTCTTTCCAAACTGTCAGCATTTTCTCAGGCACCTGGAGGAATAAACTCACTTCACCACCTCATTTACTTCCTTCATCTCACCTTCATCGGGGTGGGGAGGGGTGTCTTGAGTAGACGTTGGTCTCCTAGAAGTATCTCTAGGGGTGAGAGACTGAGAAATCCCAAAGGGCAGTGGCCTGACTCCTCAGGGCAGTGTCACTGGCGGAGCTTACGCCCTCCCAGGAAGGTCCATGGCTGCTCAGGGCCTGTGGTCCCGCGACCTGGGCGTGGAGAATTGGAGATGCCTGTTCCGCCGGAGGCCCTGCCTGTGAAGTCCTCCCAGCCACCCGCCCCAGCTGCCCAGCCATCGCCGTGCGCATTCTGCCCTCACTGTCGTTTCTGGTTTCCATGCCTCACACGCACTTCCTGAATGCTGACTCATGGGAGGGTTCCCTTCCCTGGCAGATACCTGCAGGTGTCACACGTGTCCCCGCAGCGCCTGGAGTGGCCGGCAGTCACGTGACCAAGCTATGCCAGAGGTCTTGTGCTGTGTTAGGAGTTGAATTAGACGTGAGGACCATGGAGGTTTCTGCTTCTTCAGTGCAGCAGTGCCTGGAATTTCGCTCACAGGTGTACACGGGCAAAGACTTGCTGAAAAGTTATATTCTATATTTATTCAAATTAATCACTTCAGCTCTTTACCTTCCGCCCGTGTGGGTCTGGAAGCGAGCAGATGCGGAGCTGCGCTCACGCGTGTTGAGGCGGCCGCGTCTACGCGGGCCGAGCCGGGGAGCGCTGTGCAGCCGGCGGGGGTGCTCGTGCACGGCCATCGTGGCGGGCGCTACGAGGTTTTAAGACCTGTGGTGAAATACACACAACCTGAAATTTGCCATCTTAACCCCTTTAAAGTGCACAGCTCGGGGGCACTGACGACAGCCACATTGTTGTGCAACCATCACCAGTTTTTTTTCTTCCCCAAACAGAAACTCCACACACGTTAAGCAACAGCTCCCTGCTCCCCACTCCCTGGCCCCCGGGCACCCCCTTTCTACTCTCTGTCTCTGAATCCGGCCGCTCCAGGGACCTCATGCAAGTGGATCGTATACTGTTTGTCCTTTTGTGACTAGCTTATGTCACTCAGCGTAAGGGTCCGCAAGGTTCATCCACGCTGGTGTCACAGCTTGCTTTCTAAGGCTAAGTGAATGGACCACACTCACCCACCCATTTCTCCTCTGATGGACATGGTTACCTCGATGTCCCAGCTACTGAGAGAAACGAACATGTGGGCACAGCATCTCTTCAGGACCCTGCCGCCAGCCCTCCTGGGCGTGTACCCGGCGGCAGGGGTGCTGGCTCAGGCCGTAATTCCACACGAATATTCTGTTTTCTGTAACAGCCGCACCCCCCCACCGCAGTGCACAGGCTCCAGTTTCTCCACGTCCTCATCAGCTCCTGGTATTTTCCATCCAATTGATCGTAGCTGTCCTCCTGGGCGTGTGCCACACGTCTGGCTTACCAGGGAGCGTGGTCACTGCCTCAGAGACTCGCCCCCAGCTACCCCCAACCTCCTCCTCCCCGCTGCCCTGCCCCCACCTGCCCTGATGCTCCGCCTCCATCCGCCCTCCTCACCTCCCACTCTCACCTGCCCCCTCATCTGCCCCCCCGCCTGCCCTGCCCCCACCTGCCCCCCTCACTTTCTCACCACCTGCCCCCTCACCTGCCTGGCCCGCCAC